CCAACCGTCAGTCAGAAAAGAAGCAGAGGTGGGTCTGCGGATGGAGGGGGGAGGGGGGCACCTCCCTGAAATGAGAGGGACACCTCCCTGAAATTGCTTCTTTTAGGTTGGGATCCCTGTAGACTCAATAGGAAAAGCTTGAAAACGCGTGTTTTCCCATTAACATCAATGAGCTTCAATCTGCTCACAAAAACGCTCGACCAGATTTATGCGCATAAAATACAGGTGACACAGACAAAAACATGCATCAAAACCACTTGTAGAAATGCGCAAAAACGCTGTCGCCTACGTGTGAACCCAGCCTTAAGGCCCCGTTCACATGTAGCGAATTATCGCGCGATTTCGCGCATTTTTGCCGCGCGAGAAGTCGCCGGCCAATGCTATTCAATGGAGCTGTCTTAACTCCATGTTGCGCGTCGCTCGTCGCTCGCTTCTACCGGACCCTTTTTTCGGCGGATTTTGCACGATTATGCCTTTTTTCTATGGAGCCCGACGGAGAAGGTCGCGCTACCGTCGCTGGATCGTCGCTGGAACGTCGCCCCAAAAGTCGCGCTATCCCGGCCGTGCGGATCCGCTGCAAAAGGTATGTCGCTACGTGTGAATGGGGTCTTAGGAAGAATTTAATTCTGTTCATTTAGCTTCATTCTAGGCTAGTCGTTTAGGTGTTTACACTAGGCCGTCTGCTAAAACATTCTGTTTTAGCGGGTAGGCTAGTGCATTGTGGCAGCTCTGGCAGTGCACGTTGTATTACACACTTTTTTTTTTTCTTTTTTGTGTACAAGGGGGAGGGGGGGAGTCATAAAAACTGGAGCAGACAAAATCTGGAGCAGTTGCCCATGGCAACCAATCAGCTTCTCTGTTTCATTTTCAAAGCTCAACTGAACAAACTAAAGAGAGGAGCTGATTAGTTGCCATGGGCAACTGCTCCAGTTTTTTTTAATTCCCCCCAATGTGTACATTCTATTCAAGTCCCGGCATAGCAATGCTGTGCGGTGACCAAAGCTGGCATCCAGTGCACTGTGAAAAAATGCAGCATGTTTAAATTTTTTGCAGCCATCACACCCCCATTGATGTGTGAACAGAGGTGTCCTAGTGGTGACCTGTGTTGATCCAGTGTAGTAAAATGCGAGTCACTGTTGTATGTGTGAACAGGGCCTGAGAATCTATCCCAAATGTAGCGGTTACAAGATCTACCATTTGTGAAAAGGTAAATGTGTGAATGTGGATCTGCCACATATAAAAAAAACTAATTATCTAAAGAGAAACAGACTTGATGTATCTGCTGACATTCATTGTCAGATGTCACCACTGACACACAATGTCTGCAAAATTGTGCAAAACATGCAGCAGTATCAAAAGCAAGTCTATCAATGACTTGGAGATAACAGTAAACCTAATAATTTTAGTACATCTGCATGGATGGATTTAGCAGATGACTAAAAAGGGCAATTTAAAGGAGGCGTATTGGGAGAGAGAAATTTACTCTTTCCAGGACTTAGAGCCGGCATGTGACACTGCATCAGTCACATGCCGGCTGTATAGATCTAGAACTGAGTGATCATAAACCACTGATAACTCATCTCACAACTTGTCCCTGAAGAGATTGGTGACTGTCAGTCACCGCTCCCCACAGGGATTCCTCCCTCCCCTCTCTCTGTTCCTCCAGTGCTCACTGTCACAGGAGTACATTAGCAAATGCACTCCTGTGACTCAAAAGAGAACTAAAGCCAAATAAGGGCTTGTCTTTAGTTCTCTCTTAAAGCAGAAGTTTAAAGGGACACTAAACTCAGGAGTTAAGTCTCAAAAATGCATTCAAGTATCTTAACCCCTTCATGACCAATGATGGGATAATCCTGTCATGGGTTCTTAAGAAGTTAAACAGACCCCCGGCGGAACTCCGTTCATATTTGTAGAGCCAGCGGCTAGCTTTACAGTAAAAGCGATTCTGGCGATTCAGCTGTCGCCAGATCGCTTCTACGGGTCAGTAAAGTGAAGCCCGACACCCCCGCTGTGTTTCGGGGCTCCTCTACCCCTCCTACGGGCCTGGGACCAGCATCTCGGGTGTTGGCAGGAAGCTGGGGAGTAGACCGGCGAACGTCTGTTCACCGATCTCCTCCCTATTCTATGGGACTGGGAGCTACGCGTATTGCATCACTTCCGGTACTTGAGCTGTCATTGCTGGGTTCCTGAAACCCAGCAATAAGCTATTGAAGTGCAATCTGCACTTCAATAGCTTATTTAGAGCGGAAAGGTGATACTAGGGGTCGTTTTGGGCCCCCAATATCACCTTAAAGAGTACCTGTCACCACCAGTATGCTATCACATGGGGAGCACCAGTGCATAGTGCATGCAGCATTTTTTCAGATCACACTGGACAAGAACGCAGACACTGATGTACCATGCGTTCTGGTGCAGGCGATCGACTTCATGCATTGACTTCAACACACCGCCACACCCCCTCCTGCCCCTGAATGCCGGAAGCCGGCCAGGATGCGCTCCAGTGCGTTTCAGCAACGAATTGTGCTGAAATGCACCGGTGCTGGTGTGAACCACCCTCAGACAGTAAACTCTTAGGGCCCATTCACATTAACTAGTCTGCTGAAATGCAGCATTTCAGTGTGCCTTGTTTCTTTCTTCTTTTTTTTATGTGGAGTGTACAATGTGTACACTTATTCAGGTCCCAACAGTTTGGTCCGTTGTGCACCAACTTGGAGTACACTCTAGTGCGCTACAAATAAAATGCAGCATGCTTGCATTTTATTGCAGTGCAGCACGCATTGTAGTGTGAATGGGACACATAGAAAACACATGTTTTCTATGTGTCCTTGTGGTGACCTGCATTGATCCAGTGCGAGGCAATGCAGGGCAAAGCACTAAGTGTCAATAGGCCCTTAGGGGCCGATTTCTAAATCTTTTGCCTAGGCATACAGTGGGTGAATGTCATTCGCACTGCATTCCTGCCACTAGATGGAGCTGCGGAGAATAGGAATTTTCTACCAGAGGTGCCCATAGACGAACAGAGGAGAGGAATTAGCTGGAGGAAGCCGCTCATGATCTACATCTGACTATGAAAGCAAGATCTGGCAGATACAGTGCAACATAGAGCATATTTAGGATCACTGTGCAAGAAAGATCAGAAGAGTACCATATAAATTAAATATCGTTGTGTGATAATATTGACTACCACTTTCGCTGATCCCTGATCTCATGTGTGGGGAATTTGATCATTCTGTGGACACACACAATTGAAATCACAGATGTATTTGGACTATTATTAATATTATTATGGATATAACAAAGGATTTGTTTGATTTATGTTCACATGGTCTAAGTTTTTTGGTTGAAGTTAACATTATTCAGTATTTATGTAAGAACACGCAACTCAGAACAGTCGGATACATTTGTTAATATATTTTTCACATAAGGCTAATCTGGAGCCTAGCGCAACACAGTAGTTATTTCGTTGTTTAGGTGTTTTCACTGAGGTTTTGTTGCAGCTGGTAACGTTCACTTACATAAATCCTAGCGCAGCCTTCACTGATATCACATAAGGCCTCATTCACACTGGGCGTCCGTGCCACATGTACACCCATAAACAGCCATGCCCGGGAGGGACAGGTGCTGCGTGTGATTGCGTGCAGCAGCCTGTTCTTCCCTATGTGAGGACACGGATGTACGGTACAGGTGTCCGCACTTGGACGCAGACAAGATGGATCCTGTCTGCGTCCAAGTGCAGACACCCGGATGTGCAGTTCATGTGTCCATATGAAACAGTACAGCAGCGTCCTCCCATAGGGAAGAACAGGCTGCTGCTCACAGCATTGCAGTGTGAATGCATGAAGCAGAGCCCAACAATGTGTATGCATTTAGGGCTTCTTCACGCCAGTTACAGTGACTGGCGGTTTTCTGGACTACATTAACAATATTCGCAATGGTAAATAATTTTTTGATGTGCCATTGCAGTAACTGGTATCAATGAAGAGCAGAATAGATGCCGCAACTGGTGTGAATAAGCCCGAAACGCATACGCAGCTCACTTCAGCGCCTGTCATTTTATTTTCTACTACTGTGATGTCTGCATATCAGCAGCTGTTTCTTGTATGCAAAAAGCCTATGTGCTGGATTTCCACCATATCCATCAACTTTTAGGTTAGGTTCACACCTAGGCGATTGCGCTGGTGAGCTGTTTTCGCACAGGTTGTCACATTTTTGTTTAGGTGACTTTGCTTTAAAAACCATGCGGTTGTCGCACGGTTTTCAATGCATAGAGATGTCTATGAGACCCAAATCGTGCGACAACCGCCAAAAATAGCTCTGTGCACCTTTTCTTGCGACAGGCGATTTCTAACGCGCGACAAATCGCAAAGGTGTGAACTGTTTCCTTAGACTTGAATGGAAATCTCTGTTTTGTGCAATATCACGCAGATTTAACCGCTTAGGTGTGAACCTAGCCTTAAACAATTCCGTCCGTGCATCTTTTTTTATTTTTCTCTTTTTTTTTTACAAGCTTTCCAATCGGCGGACCTTCCAGTTCTTTTAGGGCTACACACTTCACGGCGCCCACGTGACACGCACTTACTTCCTCTCCACGTGTTACAGAGAGGAGCATATGGTTGTCACTCGAGGACGCTAAGACTATTGCCTGCTTAGATCATTTCATAGTGTCCTCTTTAACTGCACATTCCTTTGATAAAAATTGTAATCTCATTTTTTTTTCCCGAATGGTAATCTTCTTTGAATGTATGTATAGCGAAATAGCTGTGACTTTGCAGTTCTATTGTTAACATTGAGCAGGCGGTGCTGAGGACACACCAATGACTGGAAGAGGACAGGAAAGTGAGAAAGCGGGGTCCTCGCACTGCCAGCCCGGCAGCCGTTCTTCGCTGTCAGTCGCGCTGGGAGGTGAGGCAGCTGGGTGACAGAGGCGGCTCCTCATTGATTTTTGGCGTCCACCAGTGCAGCCCTCCCGGGTGGCATCTGAGCTCCTCTCATCCGCTTCATTCAGCACCTCGCTCCGGGAAACCAGGGAGCCGCTGGTCGGCCGTGTAGTCTTCGCGTAGCAGTACAGACAACGCTCACAGCATGGAGAGTGACATGGAGAATGACATCCTGGAGGCCCTGGAAGACCTAGGGTATGGCTGTGGGATGTGTTCGGATGACTGCCTGGCAGTTATAGACAACACATTCGTCATATTGTAAATCACAGACATAATTCTAGTGTATACTAATAGTAGATGTATAGCTTGTTTTTACAACACAACTCCAGGCGGATATAAAAGGCACACACTGATGCAGCTCTGTAATCATTAATATAGGGGTAGGCAACCATTGCATGCCGGCTTTGGTGAAATTACACATCCCATCATGCCTCCAGGAGTCAGATTTTCCTTCTTGCATTGCCTTATGGGACTTGTAGTTTCACAACAGCTGGATTGCCATTACATTAATACATCATTAAGGGTCCATTCACACCAGCCAGGGCGCGTTACGGTGCACAAAGCATGTGTCTGCTTGTATGTGTTGTACATATGTATCTTGTGCTTTCTTTTTAAACTTTATTAAACCGGACAGTACATTTAAAGCCTATTCTCAGGAGAAAAATCTGCCTGTGTATTGGGATTGCCCCTGAATTGCAAGGGTTAACTGCTTGTATGTCTTGATGTCATAGTTACATACTATTTGGGGCTGAATAAAGACATACGTCCATCAAGTCCAACCCATATAGGTCCACGCATCATCTCATTCTTAGGAATACTTGTACCCCTGAATATTACGGTCCCTCAGGAAATCGTCCAAAAGTTTCTTGAACAATTCCACACTCTTAGCTGAAATCACTGCCGATGGCAGTGAGTTCCAGACCCTAACCGCTCTTACTGTAAAGAACCCTCTTCGCCCATTGTGCTGGAATTTTTTCTCCACCAACTTTAGGTGGTGGCCTCTAGTCTTTGTAATGGAGTTAATCTTAAAGAGTTTGTTGCCAATGTTGCTGTCACCATTGAACATCTTGTAACAATCATATCCCCCCTTAATCTCCTTACTTCCAGCGTGAACATGTTTAAGTTCAGTAGCCTCGTCTCATAGCTCTGATCCTCCATTCCCCTAATTAGTTTGGTTGCCCTCCGCTGGACTCTCTCCAGTTCAAGGAGATCCCTTCTTAGTACCGGCGACCAAAACTGGACCGCGTACTCTAGATGAGGTCGAACCAATGATCTATAAAGTGGCACAATTATAGACTTGTCCCTGCAATACATCCCCTTCTTAATACATGACAAGACCCTGCTAGCTTTGTTTACCGCAGCCTGGCACTGCAAGCTACTATTCAGTTTGTGGTCTACAATGACCCCCAAATCTTTTTCTATTTCTGACTTCCCTAGCGGCATACCCATGATTGTATAGCCTATTTGTTTATTTTTTATTTCCAAAGTGCATTACTTTGCATTTATCGACATTAAACCTCATCTGCCATATATTAGCCCACTACCCTATTTTATCCAGGTCCTCCTGTAATATTATACTGTCACAATCCATTTCTAATAGCCTCCTTATTTTTGTATCATCTGCAAACACAGAAACATGGCAATTCACTCCCTCCCCGATATCATTAATAAATAGGTTAAACAATATGGGACCCAGCACAGAACCCTGAGGCACACCGCTTATTACACTGGCCCAGTCTGAAAAGGTGCCATTTACAGATACCCTCTGGACCCGTTCCCGTAGCCAGTTCTCTATCCACGTACACACCACCTCCTCTATGCCCATAGCCCTCAGCTTGTGAAGTAAGCGCTTGTGTGGTGCCGTATCAAATGCCTTTGAGAAATTCAGATATACCACATCTACCGGCTTCCCTCCATCCATATCTCTACTTACCCCCTCATAAAAGGTTAACAAGTTAGTCAGGCAGGAACAATCTTTCCTGAACCCATGCTGATTGTCATTAACTATGCCCTTATCCTTAACAAAGTTTACCAAATAGGCCTTAATCATACCTTCTAACAGTTTACAAACTACCGATGTTAGACTGACCGGCCTATAGTTCCCAGGTTGTCATCTAGCCCCTTTTTGAATATTGGAACTACCGTAGCCCTCCGCCAATCACATGGTTCTCTACCAGTCCCTAAGGATTCCTTAAAAATGTCAGTGGGCCTTTTACCGTCAGAGTGGTGCGAACAAGAGACTGTGGTTGCTGGTCTTTGAGCCAGGGGGGAGCCAGCTTTGGGTCACGGGAGGAGGTTAGTATATGTCCTCCCGTGACCCTTAAGAGAACTATGGGGGAAAACGCTTACCCCATAGTTCTCTTTTTTTAAACTCTCCAACGTATTTCAATAATTAATCTAAATCAAACAGATATATATTGCCCAGCAAAGTATTTCTTTATATGTTTGCCAAAATACTTAGCCCTCGTTCACACCTGAACGTTTTGTAGCGCGTTCTACGATCGACGAACGCTCTACAAAACGCTCACAAATATAAATCCCATTGTATTCAATGGTCTGGTTCCCACCTTGGCGTATTTCCGCCCGTCCCTAACGCGCTACAAAACGCCCCACGCCTGAAAAGGTATATGTACTACTTTGGGCCGTTTTTGTTGCGCGTTTTCATTGGGATACAGCCAAGTAGCCCTCGGAAAAGCGCGTGTGTCGCACTATTTTTTTTACCGCGAATCGCGGTAAAAAAAACGTGCGACAGACGCGCATATGCAATACGCCTAGGTGTGAACCCAGCCTTACAGTGATGATGTTTCTGAACAACTGGCTCATACTTTGCTTTCCTGAACTTCCTGTACAGTACGGGATCACAAGGGGCAGCACAATCTCCAGCAGAAGTCCATCTGGTAGCTTGGAGAAGAAAGGGGAGAGGAGTGGGGAGCACAGAGGAGGGGAGCGGATTGTCTTGCTGTTCCTGTGTGTTTGTGGAAAAACACACAGGTTACTAGCACAACCAAGAGTGGTTCCATACGACCCCACAAGGGTAAAGAGCCACCCTGAAACAGGATAGCAGGGCCAGTGCTCGGTTGGATCAGCTGGTTCTGCAGGCAACTAACACTTTTATACGTCAAGGAGCAGTGATTTAATCAGCATTTGATATAGCTTAAAGGGTTATTCAACCCTAGCGGTTTTTTACATACATCTACTGCTAGCAAGCAGTAGATATATGCAAAAACATCTTGCACCTTACCATCGTGTCTTGAATTGTATTGTAATTATGTCTTCCCTATATTGTTAAGCGCTGCGCAAACTGTTGGCGCTATATAAATCCTGTATAATAATTTTTAAAAAAACAACAACTTTTCAAACATGTTAAAACTTACCTGTGCCTTTGTCACATCTGAAGAGTCTCGGACGACCGCAAAGTATCTTGGTTCGGGCGCATGCGCAGTTCAGATCTTTGGCAGGGAGATGAGAGACACAAAGTAAGTCTATAGAGCAGCGTACACCCGCACTGACTCCGTGGGACAGGAAGTGCCAGCTAGCACAGAGGAGTCGGCGCTGGATCAGAGACCTGCACCAGCAAAGGAGGGACAGCTGAAAACTACAGGAAAGAAGATGATTGGATCAAGAGGCATAATTTAAGGTAAGTCCTGACACTAACATTGAGGGGGGGGGGACACATATCCTTTAATGTCACTTTAAACACCTGTTAACCCTAATATCATTGTAACACTTGCAGTCCGGGGGTAGCTCCACTGCAGGGTTTTTTTGGCACTCCTGAGTTTAGCTTTTTTAAATGTAGAAGAAGTTCTATGGGAGTTATAGGCCCTTAGGGCACGTTTACACCATAGCGTTGCAGCAAACACAGTATCCATGCATTTAGCACACGCTGTTGCTCAGTGCACCTAGCATGTAGTACTGTGTGTTGCATTGCCATTCATTTGAATTGGTTTCTCCATAGTCCCTGTGTGTTGTAAAGTAGCCACCACTTCACTCCTGTGATAGACTACAATCTCATGTTTAGTTTACTCATTTGTATTGAGATTGTAGTCTATCACAGAAGTGAGCTTGGAGTGGTGGCTACTTTACAACACACACAGGGACCATGGGGAACAAAAGTAGCCACCCTCCAGAAGGAAGTACAGTGTCAGCATGAGTACAGAGATGATTTGAGGATCTACAGCCGAATGATACATAAGCAGGATGCATTCGTGTTAATAGTTAAGGTACTTGAATGCAGTTACCTTTTTTTGGGGTGGGATGTAACCTCTGTCTTTGGGGAAATGCAGCAGGTTCACTTTAATGCTGGTTACCACAGTTGCTATATTTGGATTGTCCTGCTGCTCTGGTCACCCAGGGGAAAAAAGTGATGTACTTGGGATTTCTGGGTATGGGGTAGTATGTGACTCCCTTTTTATGCACATGGCAGTGCTACGGTTTGGTTGCCCAGGGATGAAAAGAGTCTTTAGCTGTGGATAAGCTACACTTTATGCAAATGGATACATTTTAAAGCTTTGTCACCTCCCTATGACTTGACAATGAAGGAGAAACCAACATATGAGGTCATTGCTGTGTTCACTCTGCTCTTTCCTTCTGTCAGCGGTTTCGTTGTCAGCGCATGTGTATGCAATAGAGCCTGTCTTGCTCCTAATTCAGTGGGGCTTTTTAGGAGTCTAATATTAAGTCAAATTGAGGTACCTAATCCAGTTGCATTTTAAAATGTATTTTATAGTTTTACTAATCGATTAAAAGATAATAATAGTTGTCAATAATTCTCATTATCGATTAGTTGGTCTGGGTCCCCTAGTTCTCTCATCTTTGCTGGCAGCCGGAGTTTCATCGGCTCTGTGTCCCCTCCAATCCCCGTTGTTCCCAGTGGGGATTGGATGAGACAAAGACCCCTGCAGCTGGTGCCCAGTGGTGAAGAAAGCTCCACCAACCACCAATCCTCGCTGCTCTCCCTCGCCTGCATTGGCAAAGGAAGAGCAGTGGGGATAAGAGGGGACACAGAGCCGATTTTCCTGCTGGTGCCCAGTGGGGAGGAGAGAGCTGTGACATGGTCAAGTCAGGATAAGGACGGTGTGGGGAGGAAAGCTGCGGGACAATCGTTCCCTGTAATATCCGAACATCGCAGTGATTAGTACTGATTGCTATGATCTTTGTAAATACCTGAGGACATAGTATTCAGATACTGTGTCCCCAATTAGGAATGAGCAGGAAGTACTCAACATCACTTCCTGTTCATTCATTATTTTGGACATAGTAATCGCCTTGATTTTTGAATGAACATGAAGCCTCTGTACTGAGAGCTTCCTGTTCATTGAGTTCTGGCTGCATTGTCTTTTATTTTAAAAGGGAAATATCAGGGGTTTGTTTAGTCCCCTAATATTTCCCCAAAGTACCTAACAGTAAAGTAAAAAAAAAATAAAAAAATAATTCAACAATTTTACAATTAGTAAAAAATAAATGATATATAAAAAAAGTGTGGAAAAGTAATTTTTGGTTTCGGTGACATATTCTGGTGCGGGAGGTGCTGATCACTTGAGTGGCACCCCCAAACGCGTCTTCTGCCCACCGTGCAATTGCCCGCACGAGAAGGTGTGGTACGGCAATGCTGTGCATTCCAGTACGGCGCAATCGCAAACAATTGTGCATACAGTTTTATACTGAAGTGAACTTTGTAACATTCCATTTGTGTATTTTATTTTAAATTAAGGATGATATTTCTTTTTTTTGTTTGATAAATCGAAAAAATAATTGGCCAATTAATCGGTTATGAAAATAATCGTTTGTTGCAGCCCTAGAATATATAACTTCATTAACTGGCAAAGGAAATCTCACCGCTCCAATTACTTAGCCACCATTAGGACTCCCCAGGTGCTGGTCTAATAAGTGCATCTCCATCTTAGAATGAAGCAGTATACGAACAGACCGCACTGTCCAGAGAATTCCAATACTGCAGACTTTATTGAAATTCAGAGCAAATCCAGTATATCAGTGAATAAAAGTGCATAAAGCAACAAATGCCAGCACTGCACACCCCCAACCAACTACAACCTCTCACATGTTTCACCCGAAGGCTTATTCATAGACCTTATTCAATAAGCCTACGGGTGAAACGTGTGAGAGGTTGTAGTTGGTTGGGGGTGTGCAGTGCTGGCATTTGTTGCTTTATACACTTTTATTTCACTGATATACTGGATTTTCTGTGAATTTCAATAAAGTCCGCAGTATTGGAATTCTCTGGATAGTGCGTTTTGTTCGTATACTGCTTCATTAACTGGCAAGTCAATATTTCTTTGTTCTATATGGCTCTGTTGTTTGTTACAAATTTCGACCATGCCAATTGGCCTATTTTATTCTCTTAGGTACAAAGGATCGCTGATGGATGATGGTGCCTTGATCCAAGCTGCTGCTCAGGGAGCCCTATCTCCCGAATATACCAAGCTCTGTGCATGGCTGGTTGCTGAGCTGAAATTGTTCTGCAAACTAGAAGAAAGTGTAGAAGCCACTAATAGTAAGTAGTTAGAGTGGACCTTTACACTCAAAAATCAAATTCTACCAATGCATCCCTCTATGTATCATGATTATAAATAACATAGACATGTCAGGTGTAAAATGCTGTGATTTTGGAATGATTTTGCAAATTACTTCAGTTTGCCAACGCAATGCACACTGGAATTGCCTTGTCATCAGCAGAGCATTGCAGGGAAATCTTATCTGGAATTGCACGAGATCTCAGGGAAAGGCATTTTCCTCCCATGAGATGATGTGCCTGGTCACATGTGCCAGAAATCAAGAAAGTAAAAGGAGAGCTAGTAATCTGCTCTTAGTAAACATGGCCACTGTCAGAAGACAGAAGTATGCAAAGAATAGAAAGGCGGGAATTCTCTACAAGTATGTTTGTAGATTGCCATTACTAAACATTTCTAAGGTGTGTTTGTTGTTGTTTTGGTATGGGTAAAGGTCTGCTTTAAAGTGACACAACTAGAGCTGCCTTAGCTGGTTTAATGTTGTAAATTACAAATGTATTTATGTAGCACCAACAATTTTACGCAGCACTTTACATAGAGCACATAAAAAATATTATTTGAAAAACATTTTATGTTAATATTATAAACCAGTAATGTGCAGTTTTTCTTGCTAACACGGACCATGTGCTGTTTGGTGGCTTCTACAGCATATTGTGTATATATAAAAAAAAAAAAAGAATAAAACCCTAATAACCCTAAGGTCACTTTGGCGTTTTGCATGTTTCTCGCAGAAATAAAATACAAGAACTATAGTATTGTTCTATCTGTTCTGACAAGTAAGTGCAGAAAAATACCTGTTGATCCTGCCAGAAATCTTGTAAACTAACACATTTCTGTGTTCTTTTTTTAAGCTAACACAGTTTTTGTGCTTCCCACCCCCCTCTTGGAGAAGGGGAGTAGTTCTGTAGTCCTATGCTAGGGTGACAACATTGCTCCTACCTAAATACAGTATGATGAGTAAACATCAACCTAGGACAAGTAGTGCCACTGGCAGGATCACCAGGTGAAATTAACGGGAAACTAACCTACAAAAAAGACACCCTATTGCTGACACCACTTTGAAGGACTGGTCAGCTCCAATATATTACATTTATCGTCATGGGCTTAGACTTAGATTGTTATACTATTTTATTGAAATAAACATTTCAATTACTGTGTTTGTACTGTAGGCCCCGCAGAGGCAGAAGGGTTCCAACTAGAAATGAGTGGTCTTTTGACCGAGATTAACTGCCCATATTCATCTTTGACATCTGGAGATGTTACTAAACGGCTTCTTGACAAGAGGAACTGCCTGCTTTTGCTAAGTAAGTGACATAATTGTTCATATATTAGCACATGTGTTAATTTATTTTTGCATAATCCTGCTGATTTTTGTTTTTGTTTCTATTTTAACTACTTACTGTCTGGAGCAATCTATTTTTGCGCACACATGATCAAATCTAAATTGTTGGCTAAAAAACAGCTTCAAACCCCCCAACAATGATATATTTTCTGAAAGCAGAGACCCAGTAGAATTAAAAAAAAAATGCTAGTTGCAATTTTTTATGTCACAGTATTTGCGCAAATGTTTATAAAACCAGTATTTTTAGGATAAAATACACTACAATTATTTTAGTGCACAGAAACAGAATATAATCACCAATTCTTTGGTAAAATATAAAAGATGGGGTCATGTCGGGTAAATAGATATCAGACATGTTAAGCTTTAAAATTGCGTGTGCCTGCGAAATACCCCAAATTTCCCATAGGCGACATATTAAAGGCTTTTACCACTCATCAGTTTAGCGTTAGATTGGATTGATGGCCCTAGAATTGTTGCTCTCATGCCGACGTTTGCAGGGATATGTAACGCATATTGTCGTTTTCACACGTAAGTGCATCTGACACGTGTTTGTGTTTTGCATGTGGAGGTTTTTAAAAGCTTTTTTTTGCGGTTTTTGTTTTGAATCTTTATTTTTTTACAGTTAACTTTATTGCTATCACATAGGGTGCTAACAAGTCCCCTATGTTATGGCAAAGAGGATGTGACAGGTCTTCTTGATGGAGACATCAGGAGTCTATTAGACCTTTTAATTTCACCTAGGACCCCAAAGAAGCTGATGAAGCAGCTGGAGAAATGACAGCCTGAAACCGGAGTGATGTAATACACATCACTTCTGGGTCCAGTGATTGGAGGGGAGATCAGCAGCTGGAAGTGTGCTCAGCTCCCTCCGATTGAAGTGGACAGACCTGGCGTGCCGGTCCCGGGCCCACATTGGGGACACTTCCCTGCACCGTAGAAATGATTGGGCGGCTGTAAGCCAGCCTAGAATAATCCCTCCTACTAGCTGCATGCCTGTTATTTGCTTGTGTCCTTGGAGGTTGGACATCTTTCTTTTCGGCGCTATTTTTCTTCAATCAAGATGCTTTTCTTTATGGTTGCTAGAGCTTGTCTTTTCGATTGCAGCTATCCAGTGCCACCTTTACTCAGCATGGCTTTTGGAGTGCCACATCACATCTACTGGACTGGAAGTGACCATGGGCACTGGGTTCAGTATGAGATGCTTTCCAGATACCACAAACAGCCACAGAATATTAATAATATTCTTATGCAGCTGTAGTTGCAACTTATTTAAAGTGGCATTGAACCCTCAGATTTTTTAACATAAACCAATACTGTAATGTGTGCCTTACTGTAATCCAGGGTTGTTTCCCTTCTCTTTGCTGCTCTTCCTTTTAAATCCTCATGTCTTCTCATGCTGGCGAGAACATCCCTTTGCAGCTGAGTGCCTCTTCCTGTAGTGCTGGTTCAGGTTGTGAACCTGCACACAGACACCATGTATCCATTCCAGAGACAAGGCAGTCTGCTGCAAAACAGAAGTTCTGCCCAGCATGAGAAGAGATACAGATTTAAAAGGAAGAACAGCGAAGAGAAGGGAAACTACCATGAATTACAGTAAGGCGCACATTACAGTGTTGTTTTATGTTAAAAAATCTGAGGGTTTAATGTCACTTTAAGGTTTATGTCCTCACCATTATAGTATTTGACTTAACTCAGACAATAAGTTAAATATATTGGAAACCATATTCAAATGAAAAGAGAGACCACAGTTCCTTCCACATCACAGTTCCACTGCTTTGGTTTGTTGCAGGTGCTGGACAGATAGCCGTCCATACTCCACAGCCGCACACTGCCAGTCTTCACCTAATTCATCTTTATTTGTAAAATCCAGTCAGCTCCAAGCTTGTGATCCCCACCTGCTATTCGCTTACTTGTAGCGCATATCACCCACCATCTCTTACGGCAGTTGTCAGGTATAGATGGAGAGATGCATGCCAGCTTAGTTGGGACCCAGTACCATGTAATGAGCAATTTATAGCAGGAGCAATTTATATTCAGGAGGCAAGTGACACGACTTGTAATTCAGCTTTCTGGGAGTGCAACAGTAAGACTTATCTCTGACTCCTATTCTCTGATAGAGTGAAAATACTCTAGTTGCCCAATACTTTTAGTTGCCCATGCAGGGCCAGTTATTATGAAAGGCAGATAGGCCCTTATAGATGGGTTAGCCTACAATTAGGAATTTGAAGGGGGTGACATGGAGTCGTTTTTTTAGTTGAGTGCTTATCCATTGTAGGATAGCACTCTACTGACAGGTAGCAGCTGTCAGTTGAAAATAAATTTACTACATTTTCCTGTCTCTGGCCCGTGAAAAAAAGTATTTACCCAAGAGGCGCCATGGGGAAATCTCTAAACTAGGGCCTGCAGAGATGATGGGGGGCATAGTAACCTTTAATCTGTCCAAACATTTAAGCATATCGTATGTCGGAGGGGATGTTCCATCTGGGAATGACCCTGGCATCCTTTGGTACCCAAGGTGCATGTGCTGGGTTGCAGTTAGCCATGATTTTTTTTTTTCTCACACCCATTACTTATGTTTTACATGAAAATTCCTGTGGAATTTTCTCGCTGGTACAACCGCTTTGTAGTAGAACAATACAGTGAGGGGAATTTATCAAAACTGGAGCAGATTTGCACTGCAACCAATCAGCTTATCTGTCTCCTTTTCAAATCTGACCTGAGCAAACTGAGGAGATATGCTGATTGGTTGCCATGGGCAACTGCTCCAGATTGTGTCTGCTCCAGTTTTGATAAATTCCCCCCAGTGTGTTCTAAAGGCCTAGCCCCCTTGTCAAAATGTTATAAGATCGTCTGGGCTGTTTCTAATGCCAAATATGAGACAGTGGTGTGCTTAGTGGGAAAATGTTTTAGACAGAGAGCTGGGTAGTGTTTGCAAGAGAAATAGGTAGTACATTGATTTAAAATTTTTTAGTTCTACCCAGCCATGTGAGAGATTTCTTCTTGATCGTACATCCAAGGACATGGGGAGTTAATTCTGTAACCAATAAGTTTTGCTGGTGATTGTACACTGGCAGATCAAAGCTGTTAAAACAGCCCTGTAGAAACCCTTCTACTCCCAGCCTGCCTCAGCTTTTTGCTGTACTTAGGTGATAGACACCTTCTTTGTGCCCTTAGAGAGATCTATTTTCTCCGTAGAAGAACTTAGTCAGACTTGATGCGGGGCCGCCCAATAATGTTCTCAAGACTCTAGATACTGGGTTTGGACACTTATCTTGGCATGCAGTTGTTACAGGGTACTATACAGGTTCAGGGACATTTGTCTGTTTTATTGGAGCCCTTTACCTGAAGACCACCTTTGGGCTCTGGGGCTACACAGCCTGACATTTCTGGGGCAGAAGTGCTTGCGACAGATGCCAGTCCATCTGGCTGGGGTGGAGTACAGGGAACTTCTTGGTTCAATGGATCTTGTCGGCAGAGGAATCTAGACCCCCCCCTTACTGGGTCACCCGATCAGGATTCAGTCATACAACACCTTGGCCATACCTTACATCAACCATCAAACTTCCTCTCTTGTCAACACATGGAGAATGGTTTCAATACTTTTGTTGCAGGTGGGGAGGCTGGCCATGGACTTCCTGGCGCCCAGGTTTAATGACAAACTGGATAAGTTTGTTGGTAGGATCAGGGATCCCTGGGTTTTAGCAGTGGATGCCTTGGTGATGCCATAGGATCAGTTCAGCCTGACCTATCCCAGGGAGTACTACATAGGATAAATCTGATCTTTCCTCTAGGCTGTCCTAGACCAGTGGTCAAATTTTGGTCAGCCATATGGGAGAGCCAGAGGCCCTAGGTATTTATTTTTAAGTCCCTGTTAGCCATTCTAAGTCACCTGACCTAAGTTAAAGAGGCCAGGAAGTGTATTATGGGTAGGCGTTCGTTTGCTGTGTCTGCGAAAGGGTTGGGTTCTCTGCAAAAGCCATGCTCAACCTAAAGCCCATCCCTACTGATTATCCATTGGTGAATTTATAAGCTAAATATCCCATATTTTGCAGTGGTTTCTGTATTTATTGCAGAGGAAATGGTTGCTGCTGCTGTAAGCACTTACCTTTTTTGATGCCTCTTGCTGCAAACATCTTCCTTCCACCCGTATCCGACAGTGCCTCCAACACTGGTGCCGGTCTCGGATCCACCACAGACTCCTAGGGGGTGATTTACTAACCTAAACGCACGCACTAGGTGCATGTGATTTTTACACAGCAAAACGCATTTATCAACCAAAAAGTCTCTAAAAGCATATTTCCACTAATGCCATATATGGAAAAATAATGCACATGATGCATATATAATGCTGCTTCACAGTTTAGACAAAAATGGTTAGCTCATGCATTTACATTCCTGCATTCATCAACGCAAGTAACACAACATAGAGCTAATTTACACAAGATCACCTTGCAATTCATGCAGGGCTTTGCACAACACACCTGCTGGGTGTGTACACACTACAAAGGTGTTTAGATTCCACCCATAGATCATGCTGGGAGGGAACACACTACAGAGGTGTATACATGTTCGTGGTGTGTTTATAAGGTTAGTAAATCAACCCCCTAGTGTCCCACTCTGTCTGTCCAGCGTGCGCGCTCACGGCCGCGTCCGTTCACTGTCATTGTGTTTCCTCCCCCTCCGCTCAACTGCGCCCGCGCACATCGTCCTTCACAGCCGTTCGTGAGCCGGGAGTTCTTCAGCCGGGAGCGAGCGGTGCTGCAACCGGAAGTAGTTGGGTATTTGCCTATTTTTTTTTTTTTCAATTATAGCAAAATACTTTAAATGAATGCAGCTTGAATTTGAATGGAAAACAAGCCCAAATAACACTTTTTTATATTTAAAGCAGATATACGTTGCTTTATTGTACGTTGTACGGGTTTTATTTCCCTTTATAGATCTTTCCTTTGGGCTTAAAGTGAC